CCTGTGGCAAACCTACCAGCAAATTGGCAAGGAGCTGGGGGACCTGCAGCTTCCAGGCAATCTGTCTCAGGTCTGGCAAAATCCCATGAACCTGAGACAATTTGAATAAAAAGTTTTAAACTCAACCTACTGGTGTTTTTCAATGGAAATAAATGCCATACAACACAAAGCAACGGCATTTGTGGTCAGCGTGCTCAAAAGCATTGCCATGGAAACCACCTTAAAGAAGTTCTGTATCTAACTACAAGGCCTGAAGGTCTGCATCTTAAAAACAAAAACAACAACAAAAAAAAACCAACACAGGATCCAAGAGGTACAAAAAGCTGAATCTTGGTATGTTCCCTGAGCTGCTCAAAACCGTTAAGACACTCCCTCAAACTGTGCTGGCATAAACAAGAACCATGCCTGTAATCAGGGAAATTCAGGATTATGGAATATTTGTATGCGGGGGCAGGCAGGCACAATGGCTCATGAAAAAAACCCCCAACCAAATAACATAACCCTGTATGTAAAAACAGAGTGAATTATAACTTTGGCTTGAAACTAAAAGCATCCTACTGCTAGGTTTCCCCTGACTCCAAAACATCCCTCTCAAGTCTTTGACCAGTTTAAGAAAACAATGTTATCATCCAAATCATATTAGTGCAACAGAGTTCATCAATAATTTTGATGATTTTTTATGTGCCAAAGTTGTTATATTTGAACAATCTTTTTTTACAGTTCAAAAATATACTTTGGCCCACAAAAGAACACTTATGATAAGAATACTGCATCTAGGTAGTACCAACTATTTCTCACAAATGTCTAGATTTTAAAAACAGTTTAGTGACTTCGATATGAAAAGACAAGATACTGTTATCTACAGTTGCCGTAATTGCTATGAAAAAATAAATAAATTGTGCCTTCGCAATGTTCCACAATGCTGAAATGAGGAAAAGAAGAAATGCCTGTTTCAGTACTCTGTACACAGTTTTTACTTCAGGGTTGTGAGAAGTTGTTCTGGTCAAGCCAACCTAAAAAGATTAACATAGGAACTACAAGTTTTTTCTGCTTCAGTATTCCTCTGAAATCTATTTTTGAGCTTTCCTCCCTGCCCCCTATAATTTCTCCCTGTTGACAAAGTTATACTTATGCATTAACACAAAAAAAGAGAAACAACACAAAAAACCTCTCAAAACCAAGAAAAAAATGCCAAATCAGATTTTTGAGACAAACCTGGATCAAATGTCAAAAAATACAGCTGATGTGCTTATTTTCTTTGATGCACCTAGCAATGCCTATGACCCCACATGTAGCACCCCTCCAGCACTATTTGTTAAAACTAAGTTCTAGTTTCATTATTAGTGTGACATAACAAATGTTAGTATAATGTATTCCTCTTGTTTACATAAATACTCTTTGTTACCTCCAGATTCTAGGACCAAGAGAATTAGAAGGCTGATGATTCAGATGTGTATTTACATTTTCAAAAGCTGCTATGTATTTGTGTTATTTGATATACAATAAAAGAAACCAATAAAAAGAACAAATACAAGCATCTAACAGAATCCTTTGCTAGTATTATTTTAGCGTGAATCTGATACTGAAAAAATATTGCATAGATTGCTTATCATACTGAAGTTTCCACAACTCTAGTGGAAAAATTGAACTGAGAAAACCAAGAAACTAAGAGAAAACATTGAACAAAGGCAGTTCACAAAATAATACAAGGAAAGTCTAGACAAGTTTCTTATCACAAAAAGAACGAAAGAAAAATATATTCATAGATGTTAGGGTCGGAAGGGACCTCAATAGATCATCGAGTCCGACCCCCTGCATAAGCAGGAAAGAGTTAGATTCATAGATGTTAGGGTCGGAAGGGACCTCAATAGATCATTGAGTCCGACCCCCTGCATAAGCAGGAAAGTGTGCTGGGTCTAGATGACCCCAGCTAGATGCTTATCTAACCTCCTCTTGAAGACCCCCAGGGGTAGGGGAGAGCACCACCTCCCTTGGGAGCCCGTTCCAGACCTTGGCCACTCGAACTGTGAAGAAGTTCTTCCTAATGTCCAGTCTAAATCTGCTCTCTGCTAGCTTGTGGCCATTATTTCTTGTAACCCCCGGGGGCGCCTTGGTGAATAAATACTCACCAATTCCCTTCTGTGCCCCCGTGATGAACTTATAGGCAGCCACAAGGTCACCTCTCAACCTTCTCTTGTGGAGGCTGAATAGGTCCAGCTTCTCTAGTCTCTCCTCGTAAGGCTTGGTCTGTAGGCCCTTAACCATACGAGTGGCCCTTCTCTGGACCCTCTCCAGGTTATCCGCATCCCTCTTGAAGTGCAGCGCCCAGAACTGCACGCAGTACTCCAACTGCGGTGTGACCAGCGTCCAATAGAGGGGAAGTATCACCTCCTTGGACCTATTCGTCATGCATCTGCTGATGCATGATAAAGTGCCATTAGCTTTTTTGATGGCTTCGTCACACTGCCGACTCATGTTCATCTTGGAGTCCACTAGGACGCCAAGATCCCTTTCCACTTCAGTGCCACCTAGCAGGTCATTTCCTAGGCTGTAGGTGTGCTGGACATTTTTCCTCCCTAGGTGCAGCACTTTGCATTTCTCCTTGTTGAACTGCATTCTGTTGTTTTCTGCCCACTTGTCCAACCTGTCCAGGTCTGCTTGCAGCTGTTCCCTGCCCTCCGGCGTGTCCACATCTCCCCATAGCTTTGTGTCATCTGCAAACTTGGACAGCGTACATTTCACTCCCTCGTCCAAGTCACTGATGAAGACATTAAAGAGTATCTGTCCAAGGACCGAACCCTGTGGGACCCCACTGCCCACACCCTTCCAGGTCGAAACCGACCCATCCACCACGACTCTCTGGGTGCGGCCCTCCAGCCAATTCGCCACCTACCGGACTGTGTAGTCATCCAAGTCACAGCCTCTTAACTTGTTTACCAGTATGGGGTGGGATACCGTATTGAAGGCCTTCCTGAAGTCTAAGTATACGACATCCACCCCTCCTCCTGTGTCCAGGTGTTTCGTAACCTGGTCATAAACCAAGAGTTCTAGATTTTTGCATTCCCTGTGCTCATCTACATGAATTTGAACAAAAACATGTCACATACCACAGTGTGTCAATCCTAAAACTTTTCCTGCAATTAATCATGTGTGTGGTTACCGTGTTAGACATGGGGTAAAATACAGTGGAGTTATAGGTGGTACCATCCTTTGTACAGATAAAAAAACAACTTTTCTCTCATTTTTACTACCTTGGAGGCCTTCATGCAGCATCCTCTGTCCAAAGACTTTGAAGCACCTTCCACGAGCTTTCAAATATTCCCGCCAGTGGCTCTGCAATGATGTCGGCCACTGCCTTCAGCACCCTCAGATGGAGCTCATCCGGGCCTGCCGACTTAAAGGCATCCAGTTCTTCCAAATGACTCTGCACCATCTCAGGGTCTACGCATGGTAGTCTGGCGCCTTGCTGCTGCCTCTCTACAACCCCAGTGAGAGACTTGTCGTGCCCCTCACTTAGGAACACTGAGGCAAAGAACTCATTGAGGAGTTCAGCCTTGTCCACTCTTGCTACAGTATCCTGATAGCAGTCAGTCCACACTGAAAAAGACACAAAACCTTTGACCTTCCATGGATAATGAAGTCAACACTACCTGTACCAGTTCTTTCCTAGGATCAACTAATAATGGAAAAGGTTTCCTTCCTAACTAAGGCTAGGGACAGAAATTACACATAAACCAGTTTAAGTCCTCAGAAACTAGTTTAAACCTACAAACAGAACATAGCTAAGAACAGACAGCCAAAAAGCCCAAGGCTAAATCAATTCAGTTCTGCAGGTTAGTTTAAACTGCACAGATTAAATTAAAACAGAAGTGAACAGACATTTACCTTTGATTCAGAAAATGCAGCCACATGCCTCTACTGGCTCAGACCAGAAGCCGGGGGGCACTACAGAATGGCTCTCTGGCTGTGTTCACTTCTTCCTGATGCTCCCAAGATCTCTGAGATTTGCTGTCTAGAATCACACCAGCAGGACTCTGCAGGGTTACTCATCACTTCCTCTTCCTGCTTCCAGGTGCTTTCTGGGATTTTAGTCCACAGGTGCAGCCAGCAGTAAATTTGGGAAGGGGCATTTAATCCTTGGCCCCAGATTCTACTGGGGTTTGCTAGAGGAGGGTAGTCCCTCTGCTGTACACTGGGCTACATCCCCAGTCAGGATTGCCCCCTCCTTGTCAGTCATCCCACACTGTTCCAGATAGGGAGCAGAGGGATGAGGCCAGCCCTGCTTTCTGGAGCAGAAAACACAGCCCAGCCCAGGGCTACAAAGCATGCCGGGATGCTGGGGGACTCTGATTTAACTTTAACCAGGAAGGGGTCTGGGACAGAACTTTCATAAACTGGTTTGACCCAAGTCAGTTACATCTGATACTACATTCAGACAATCTACATTGTTTATAATGTTGTATGACATGGAGCATAATCCAGAAGCCATAACACATCAATGTTTACTTCACAACAGTCTTAAAATGTACTTTGGGAACAGACTACTGGAAAAAAGGAATGCATAGTGACCAAAGCTGTCCAGAAAACATGAATTACAGTTTGCAATAAGTCTGAGGTTTGGTATTTGGTTTGTTCTGAAATGCAATAAAACCAAGAACATCTTTTTGAACAATTTTTTTCAGGTGAAAGGGAGAAATAAAGATTATGCACAAAAGGACTCAGCAGTTTAGATGCTTGGTTGCCACATGTGAATGTTCCTGATCCAGAGGAAATCACTCTTGCTCCTTTTGAGCAGATCTTCCATCTAGGTCTGAGCAGCCTTCCCTATGAGGGTTTTGCCATTTAGTCAATATAAGTTCCCAACCAGTTTTGTTACAAATTTGTTTGATTATTTTAAATAGGTGGCAAAAATCACCCTTTGCCCTCTATAAACAAAAGCAGGGTTTATTTTGCAAAAACAGTATAACAATTCACTCTACAAGTGAGAAGTAGGTTCTTACCTTTCTAGTGTGTCTGCTTCAGTTTGTCCCAATTCATCTTCAGTTTTCCAGCTTAAGATGTTTTTGGTGGGGATACTGATTAATGCCTCAGTTTTCCTTCTTTTCCAATATGGGCTTCCAGACAAAAAAAGAAACGCTCTCTTCCAAGTCAAATAAGCAACCATCCCTCCTCTCTTCCCAGAGATCTTCAGGCCTTCAAGGCTTTGAAGTCCTCCTGAAACTCTTAGTTGTGAAATGTCAGACTAGGCTGACTGTTAAAACTGAAAAATTGCTTCCCTGGATCCCCCTAGATTACAGCCTTCGGGTTTCCACATGGTTGCCTTAATCATTTATGATTCCCAGCTGAAGCTGGTCAACAATCTTGCACTCTCTTGAGGCAGAGCTCTAACAGTTAGGTGTTTTAGCCTGATGAGAGTAGAAAGCTCATTCACTCAAGAACTTAACAGGCCTTAGTTGCATGCAGGCCTTGGTTGCAACATTTTCACTCTACATGCTACAGGTGTGCATGGGGAGATTTTCCTGCTACACATGGGGAACAAGAGCTTGGGATTCTCATAAAGGAGCAAATACTAGGCACAAAGTATACACAGTTGCTTTCATTGCCTTCATTTGCTTTAGCCTTGAAAAGGGGTCCTTTCTGAAAGCCTTTGTCACATCTGGGTTAGGCAAACCTCAGCACAACCTTGACTTTTCTCTACTCTCTATTGCCCCTAGTATATATCTATCTATATATATACACCTATATATAGAGATATCTATATATAGATATATATGTACACACACACTCCTGATATAGATATTCCTGCTATGACATGATTCTATCAGACTCTCCTGACTAGAGCCCCCAGAATGCTTTTACCTAGAGCTGAACCATTAATGCGTTCAAAGTGTCCTTAAAGGGCCAGTGTACACCCCCTTACCAGGAGAAGAGCATTTGCTTTCCCAATCCTGCATTGGTGTTCAAAATGTCCAGGTTCTAACCTCAATCCTCCCACAGCCTCAGAGGTAGAGTTCTGGAGGCAGAATTTCTTTTACAACTGTCATTGTTTAACTTGTCGAAATACATATTTTACTTAAATTGAATAAAAATTTTGCAAAAGCTGGAGACAAATAGACTGGTAAAAACAAAATTATGTTAAAGGAACTGTATAATACAATTCATTTATAGATTTAAAAAAGATCTGCAGTCTTGTGTAAGACTAAGCACAGATATTCAAAAAGCCTGAAGTGGAATCAGTTCAATTAACCCAGGTTTTTCCAAGCTGTGTAGTTTGAATGCCACTCCATGAGCCCGGTCCCAATGTCCCCCAGTGCCTGCGCTCTCCCACCTTTCCCTCCACCCTGCCCATTTCGGCTGACACAGGCAGGCAGGAACCAGGACTAAGAGTCATGCCAGGACTGCCAGCACTGGGAGGGTATGGGCTGGGGCAGGGTTTGCTCCCCCTTACCCCCTGGAACTGCCCAACTCACCTGACAGCTTGTGAGGCTCTAAGCCTTGCTTCTGCCTGCCCATGTCAGCTGAGCTGGGCATGGAAGGTGGAAGGGTTGGGGAGCGTAGGCTCCCCTCAGCTGTGTTTGCACAAGTCAGAGTGCGGGGCCAGGCCTGTGGGATGTCAGCTTCTGCTCTCTCCCCCATCCCCCACCCCGTCCCTGGTGCTGAGCTACTTGGTTGATAGTACTGGTGTGGCTCTCAGCCCTGGCTCCTGCCTGCCCTTGTCAGCTGAGCAGGACAGTGGTAGGGTGCAGGAAGGAGCAGAGTCCCTACCGTGTGGGCCCAGCCCCAGCCCACTGATCCAAGTAAGCACAGCTGGGGGGAGCCTGTGCTCCCCCACCTTTTCCTCTGCCCTGCCAAGTTGGACCCACATGGTCAAGCAGGAGCAGGACTGAGAGCTGTGTGGGTTGTCACCCAAGCCAGGCAGTGTCAAAGGGCGGGGAGCAGAGGCCCCTTTCAGTGCTCCCCCCAGACCTGATTAAGCAGATCTTGGGGAGAGGTGGGGTTCATGTTGGGGGTCTCTGCTTCCCCCTCCCCCTCTCCCCTGTATTGCCACTGGCAGATGCAGGCAGGATACAGGCGTGAAAGCAGAGACTTTGCTTTCTCAGAAATGTGACAGCCTGGGGGTGGGGCCAGCCCAGCTCTGCAGAGTTGGAAAGTGACCCTCTCAGCAGCCCAGAAGCAGAAAGGGATCTTGAAGTCATGGTGGACTCCCAGATAAACATGAGTCGTCAGTGTGACAAAATCATCATCAAAGCTAACTGCACTTTATCATGCACCAGTAGATGCATGACACATAGATCCAAGGAGGTGATACTTCCCCTCTATGCAGCATTGGTCAGACCACAGTCGGAGGTACTGCGTCCAGTTTTCAGTGCTGTACTTCAAGAAGGATGTTGATAGACTCAAGAGGGTCCAGAGGAGGGCCACTCGTATGGGTAGGGGCTTACAGGACAAGCCCCATGAGGAGAGGTTGGGGGACCTGGACTTCTTCAGCCTCCTCAAGAGAAGGCTGAGAAGTGATCTTGTGGTTGCCTTCAAATTCATTAGGGGGATGCAGCAAGGGATCAGAGATGTTCTGTTCACCAGGGCACCTCTTGGGGTAACAAGGAGCAATGGTCACAAACTGACAGAGAGCGGATTTAGGCTAGATATCAGGAGAAACTTCTGCACAGTAAGGGTGGCCAAAATTTGGAATGGGCTTCCAAGGGAGGTGGTGCTCTCCCCTACTAGGGGTCTTTAAGAGAAGGCTGGATAGGGATCTGAACGGGGTCATCTGAGGAGCAATGGTCACAAACTGACAGAGAGCGGATTTAGGCTAGATATCAGGAGAAACTTCTGCACAGTAAGGGTGGCCAAAATTTGGAATGGGCTTCCAAGGGAGGTGGTGCTCTCCCCTACCTTGGGGGTCTTTAAGAGAAGGCTGGATAGGCATCTGGCTGGGGTCATCTGACCCCAGCACTTTATTCCTGACTAGGCAGGGGGTTGGACTCGACGATCTGTTGAGGTCCCTTCTGACCCTTGCATCTATGAATCTATGCCCACTGTGGACATTTGGTTCTCCAGGGACAAGTAACAGCAGCACACCTGGAAAGTAAAAAAAAAACCCACCTGCACTGCAAGGTAGCAGCACAAGGAATGCCTGAATGTGTGGCACCACATACTGCACAGCCGCACTTGTTTGGACACAGCCATGCTTTTTTTCTTCAGAACAGTTATTGGAAATAAATCTTTCACATTCCAGGTGAGAGTCCTCCTTAGTAATCTGTAGGCTCAGTCTCTTTATCTCTTATTAGATTTATTATAGTTTGTTTTCACTATTCATTGCCTGAGAAAAAAGATCAACCATATATATCATATTTGGGATGTACCCTTGGAATATGAATGAGTACCTACATCAATGAATATTTAGTTATTTGTATTTTTTGTAATTATGTAATTATATTGCCCTTGTGTAAGTCAGGCAGATGTGATCTTGTAATTCTAAAGACTCTAAGTTAATAGATTTCATTCTGACGTAAGGTATCCAGGTTGTAGCTGTATTGCTCTAGAGGAAAAGGCAATCAGGACTCATAGTAAAGATGATGGGTGCATCCAGACAAGACCGCACATGCTTCTTGCAGCATCTCAAACCCCCTTGAAATGCTACAAGAGGCAGGTGCAGGAATGAGAAAATGTTCCCTGTGCTGCAAAATTAGACCTGTGGCTATCCAGGGGTCAAAAAAACCTGCATAGAAAAAATGTGGAGCAGACTGAGGCAACTAGGGGCTGTGTCCTCCATAGAGATGCTCTGGCTGCCAGAGCGTCTCTATGGTTAGCCCTTGCCCTGGTGCTGAAGCATGCTGCCAGCCCTGCAGGACAGGCAGTGTGCCAGCAACAGAGAGGTGGACCCAAGTTCCACTGCCAGTAAGAAAGGGGTCAGGGGGATGGAGGAGGGGGGCCCCCCACCGGCCCTGCCCGCTCCCCCAGCCCCAAGATCCCTTCCCTGCCTGGTCCCATTCCCCCCCAGCCCCTTAACCCCCCCAACCCCT